AAAAAAAAAAAAAAAAAAAAAAAAGAAACAATAGAACAGTATTAACTTTATGGACATTGATGTGATTCCCTTTAGCCTCATACTGTTATGCTGGACTCTCTTGTACATTTTTCACAGATCAGTGACTTTTACTAAATTCTCTAGCATGAATGGTAATGGACAATTGTGTTGCCCTGGATTGTTTGCTAGCCAGTTTAGCTGGGATATGTGCCATTGCTAGTTTTTCCTGTCTCACCTGGATTAATGACACATTTAGTTGGCTTGACTCTGGATGTGGAGCCTGACGTGGTCTTTCCTCCAGTGAGCCTGGTTATACCACTGTGAGTCGTAATCATGGTCACTCTTGTCCAATGCTACCTAAGACAAATGGAATACATTTGGCCCAATCCTCTATCTGTACAATTAATTAGAGTATCTGATGACCTATGTGGTGATTTATGCTCCCGAGAATTCTTCCTGTGTTAGAAGTTAGGAGGTAAAGTTGTAGGGGAATGTGTCTACCATGGTGCCCCGGCAATTTCACGCATATCTATATAGGCTGTGCAGGCAAAGTCTTGAACTATAGCTAATTTGAGTCTTGGCAGATCATCTTGTGATCATTCCAGAACATGAGAGGATGAGAGGAACTTTACAAGATTTTGAGGCCATCTCCCACTTCTGTCCCTATCCCCGTAGAAGGCTGCCATGAGACAATTTGTCATTGCCTCCCAGATTCTGATGAGGTATGAGGCTTTCTGCCCCACTCTCCTCAGGTTGTAACTGCAGACTGTAACACTGTTTAGCTGCAGTCTAAAACTGTCTCCTCAGCAAGGCGTATGCCACAACCCACGTTGCAGTCATCCAGCCCCCTTTCGTTTCCGTGTCGTTTTTGGTGTGTGGGACAAGGACTTGGGGAACTGGGATATTTGGCTACTCTTCCTTTTGCTGTTTATGTAAGTAATACATTATATGAATCTAAAAATGGCATATTGTATCTTTACTGGGCAAATCAGTTAGGAGTTAGCCTTGGCCTTGGCCTTGCCTGCTGCTGTGTGTTTGACAGAAGAACAATAGAGAGAGTAAAAATATATGGTTAATTATGATAGACTATTCCTCTCCTCTTTCGTTTTCTAAAAAATTTTGAACCAAACGCTGATCATAGTCATAAGAGACCTTTTTTCAGGTGGACGATGACTTAGTCATCAGTTATCTGAGGGCTCCTTGTTCTGAGCTAAAACTCCCATAATTGTTTTGTCACCAGTTCAGTTCTCTCCATCTGGTCCCAAAGAAAATCACGGGAACATTTTTTTGTATGCTCAACCTTCCTAGTGATCTTTCGCAAGTTGAGTCTCTGCTTCCTTCTCAGCACTCGCAGACTATCAGCTAGTGTCCCTTTATGAGTTATTCCAGTACCCTCTTAGAAACCAACCAACCAACCAACAAGCCTGGGAGTTCATCTGAGGTCTCCTTTGCTCTGTGACTTTTCATAGGTATGGTATCTGTAAGCTCTCAGTACCTGGGTAGCTATAACGCATCTGAACCCTTAGACTTGAATTCCTGTGAAGCAGACATCCTCTTCCTTCCTTGTTCACCCAAGAGACTGAATATACAAATGAACAATGGCCAAACCATATAGAAAAACAGAACTCTGACCCACAGTCTGCAGCAGCCCGTCCAGGAAACCAACCCACTACCTGCAATAACCAGTGCAAGAGTTCAAACTACCATCTCTAGCAATCAGTCCCGGAAGCCAAAATAACTCCTGTAGTAATCAGCCTCAAACAGCCAGAATCTGAATAATGCTTCCCAACCAATCACACCAGATGCTTTGCTTCTAGTAAGCCCTCATGCCTACAATCTTTAATCAGAGCACACCTGAAGCCTTCCTTTCTTCCTACTACAGAGCTTTCCCACTTCTCTGCCAAATGCCAAGTATGGTGGCTGACTTCCTTGCTATAATAAGCTCTGCATAAATAAGCCGTTGCTTGTTCTCAGTTGGGAGGTCTTCCTTTATTGCCACAACTGTCTTTAAAAGCAGAGCTTCCTGACATGCTGTGTGATGTTAGGTAAGTCGTTTCCTCTCTTTGGGCCTCACTTTCTTCAACGGAAAAACTGGTTCAACATTTAATCATGCTTTTATTCAACAAACATTCTATGCCACTTAAAGAAATTGGGCCCTAAGAGGTGCTAGACGTTGGGCGGATGTTAGAGGCACAAAGATGAACATATCAAGGACATAGTCTGCTCTCTGGGAATGTAGAACGTAGTAAAAGGAGACAGATGTGTGAACAGGCATAGTCAAGTGAATGCTATGGATGCTTATACCAGCATCCATCCTACAAAGGCGCAATGAGGTGGAGAAGAGTGGTCAGTGGGAAGAAAAGGGCCGGGAAAGGATTCCCAGAGGAAGCCTCCTCCCCAGCCTCCCCCCACCCCCACCCCCCTACCGTTCTCCTTGATTTCTGCAGGGCCCGAAGCGCTCTGTGACTCTGGGAGAGCTGGACCACTCTCCCCTCCCGACTTTGCGTGGCGAGAAGGGAGTACCATGGAGACGCGGAGCCCTCCACCGTCCTAGAGAAGCCGGAATGGCAAGAGTGCTGCAGCCTCCGCCTCTCGCATGCGGAGACCTGACCCACGCAGAAAGTGGGGAGCTGGGCATGGGTCTGGTTGGGGCTTGGAGCCTGGCTCTTGTTCGGGAGGCTCCCGGGCGGGGGGCCGCTATGTCAGGCCCGCCCGGGTCTGGAGCGTCCCTCCCTGACCCTGGGTAGTCCCCGGTCGGGCCCGGTGAGCGCTGAGCCGGCGCCACGAAGCTGGCTTGGCTCTGCCCGGGGCTCTAGGCCCACATGAGGGGCGGAGAGGAGGCAGTGCGGCTACCGGTAAATCGGGGCACAGCCCAGAGTGGAGGGCCCGGAGGAACAGGTAGGGGCAGAGTGGATCCGACATCCCCCAGGCTTGCGGCGGCAGGGGAAGCACACGTGCAGATGCACAAGCATGAGCCAATTCTGGGGCAGAGGTGTCCCAGCACAGAGCGCTGTGTGCGGCGACGAATGGCCAGAATTTCCACGACTGGTTTTACAGAGCTGGTTTTGTTTGAGGTGGGTCTTGAGAAGAACATGAGCTTGCAGGAGCAGGAGGAAGGATCTGGATCTTCAGGCCGGGGGTGGGGATGGAGGGGGGTGTAGGTCCAAGGATACAGAACTGGGCAAGGAAAGGGTTTGGGTTCATAACGGAACCGTGACAGTATAGGGCATGAGGGTGGTCTTGCAGGAGATGATCCTTGGGAAGTAAGCTGGGTCCCTGAATGGCGACTGGAGTTGTCTGCAGTTCAGAGGAGTTGGACTTTTTTAGGCAGGCAAAAGTGAGCCAGCCAAAGTCTTTGAGCCTTGGAATGCTGGGGAAGTTGCTGTGAGAACATTGCCGGGCAAGGACTGATGGGAATGGACCAGAATTGGCCCCTCCATAGTATTGAGATTGAGATCCTGAAGGAGGCAGTGGCTGGGAATTATAAGAAGTCTTGATGGCTCCAAGTTAGCACTGTTTGTGTTTCTCAAGGAAGAGAGTGAGAGGGAAAGGCAAGAAAAGAAAAGGTGCAGGAGCTAGGGCTCCCAGAAATACAGAAAAAGGAACACTGAGACTGGGATGTGGGGAAGAGAGTAGGGTAGGTGCATTAGGGAGTAGTCAGAGTTGGGCTCTGCCCTGTTGAGTACAGCCTCTCGAGCAGCCTGAGTGTTCTGAGGGGCCCTTAGCTGCCTCTTTGGCTGGTGGCAGTGACTGGGAGGGAGAGAAGAGCAAGAGTCCTAGACAGGGGCAGCAGGGGTGGCAGGAGTGAGGATAGAGGACAGTGTGCCATAGTAGGTAAGAGCCAGAGAGTCCCACAGGCCTGAGTTCTGTCTCAGCTCTTTAACTCGGGGGATGTTAATCTCTGAGCCTCAGTTTCCCTTCTGTAAAATGGGTCTAATGTCCTTCTCACAGTCTGTGAGGCGTGCCCAGAGTAATATATGTAAAGTGCTTGGCACAGGCTCAATAAATGTCAGTTGCTCTTGTTATCCAGGGTTGGTGACCTCTGAAGGAGGATACACTGTGGAGAAAGGTTGGCACTTAGAGCACATATGGGAATGAAAAGGGAAAACTTGCAGAGACTCATGAAAAAGATGAGAGGATGTTTGCTGAAGTAAAAATGAAGAGACATGAGAAGATTGGTAGCTGATCCCTTATATCTTTGTAAGTAGGGGGCAAAAATCTGTTGAGAGTTCCCTTAGACATTCAGAATCCAGAAACTCAGTGGGCATCCCCTCCAGTACCTCTTAGTGCCTGGGTCTACCCAGACTCCAGGCCTGGGTCCTGGGATTGTCCTAGGGCATTTAAACACATGTTGTTTCAGGAGTCAGTGACCTTCGAGGATGTAGCCATCTACTTCTCTGAGAATGAATGGACCGGCCTGACCCCTGCTCAGAGGGCCCTGTACAGGGATGTGATGCTGGAGGATTATGGGGCCGTGGCTTCGTTGGGTAAGGGTCTTTCCCTCTGGACTCTGCCTCTACCCTTTGGAATTTCTTGGCTCCTTCTTCCTCAAAGGCTCAGGAGTCTTTGATAACCTCAGTTGAGTGGCAACTTCAGGCTCTTGTATTCTTAATGACCCAACCTTAGTGGTTGCTGGGAAGTAGGAAGTCCTGGTATCAATTCAGGCCTCACATAGGACTTCCTTACCCCTGGCTGAGAGCTTCTGTTCTCCTGACTCATGTGCTGTGGATACAGTGGGAGGAGAGAAGATTCCTGGTGCCCCTCTGAGCCCTCAGTTCCCACCACCTCAGTTTGGGAGACCCAGCCCAATACCAGCCATCCTCATGCAGACGTCTGAGCTTGAGAGCTCTCGGAGAGGGAGAGCACAAGAAAGCTCAGTTCCTCAAAGAGTGAAGTCATCTGTTTGCTCACTCATGCTGTTATTGAGCACCCCTTCCTCTCTGTTTCCTGACCATTGTGAGCCTCCAGGCCCCTCTCCCCTGGGTCTCCTGTCCCTTTCCCCGGACTTCCTTTTCTTGTTCTCCCTAGTAATTTCCCTTCTTTCCCCTCCCGCCCCTGAAGACACAGGCCTGGGAGGAGCCCTGGGGTTGCTCTGTGTCACCCTACTCACCCACCTGTCCCATTTCCTTCCTGTCAAGCAGCATTTCCATTTCCCAAGCCGGCTCTGATTTTCCAGCTGGAACGAAGCACCATGGAGCTTGGCTCCTCAGGGAGCTCTGGATGGAGAGGGCCCGAGGGGCATCTCCTCAGGTGAGCGAGGATACATGTGCCAGTCATCTGACCAGTTCCCTTGTCTTAATCTTTAAATTGTCATGGGTGTGTGTTCTCTTAACCTAGTGCTGTAGACACCAGTGGGATTCCTTGTTTTCCTCTGTGTTCCCATGGTTTTCCATCTTCTTGAGTCCTTGCTGTATTCATCCGGGCTCTTCTGTCTGCCATCTTCATGCACCTGTTTTTCCTCTTCCCCATCTCCACCGTTCTTTTCAGGGCCGTTATGTATCTTTACTCCCTGACTTTTCTGTTTCCTTTCTGATCTGAGGTGGTCTTTCTACTTTCCTGGCCTGCTTATAATCTTCCAGTAGAAGATTCGGACTGCCCTTTGGGGTATCATGGCCATTTTTTTTTTTTTTTTGCGGTACGCGGGCCTCTCACCGTTGTGGCCTCTCCCGCTGCGGAGCACAGGCTCCGGACGCGCAGGCTCAGCGTCTATGGCTCACGGGCCCAGCCGCTCTGCGGCATGTGGGATCTTCCCAGACCGGGGCACGAACCCGTGTCCCCTGCATCGGCAGGCGGACTCTCAACCACTGCGCCACCAGGGAAGCCCTTATCATGGCCATTTTTATCATTAGAAATCAAGAAGTCTAAATAACCCTGAGCCAAATACTTCCTGTTCCTCAGGGATTTCTGGTGGGAAAGCCCTGGCATTTGTTTAGGCCCAACACAGGGCTTCCCTGCTCCTAATTTCCTACTGAGAACTGTGTCCTCTTATTGCCCCCTGGCCCCATTTCATCTTCTTCCCACAGAGGCTCTTCTGTGGGCACAGGTGACTTGAGCTGTGCCCTCAACTCCCCCATTCACACAGTTCCTTGCTGTGTCTGGAAGTCTTTCCATGTTAGGATACCGTTGATTGCAAGTAACAACCCAATTCAAACTGGCTTAAATAAAAAAGAGGAATTTATTGTTTTGTGTAATTGGCAAGTCCATAGGTAGAATGGGCTGCAGGTACATTTGGATCAGAATTTCAGTCTCTGCTCTTCTCTGTCTCCTCATATGTTGGTTTTGTCTACAGTCTGGCTCCTCTCGTGGTTGTAAGGTGATTGGTTGTAAGGTGATTGGTAGTTGTAACCAGGACTGTGCTTCACCGATGGAGAGGAACAGAGCAGGCCTTCCTTAGGCTTTCACCACTGTGAATCACAGTCCCAAGTGTTGCTCTGCTGCACCATCTTAAGTCTTATGCCGGCTCTAAATCGGTCTCTGCAGCCAGGGAAAAGCTCTGCACTGATTGACTTGGCCTGGATTGCTGGTCCCTGAAAGGATCTCTCATGTAGTGAGTGGGATGGGATAACCTGTTTGGCTTAGCTCAGTGAGGGCCTGTACCAGGAGCTGGACTTGGGATCACTCCCACCCAAAGGGCCTGGCTACTCTCTAGTGGGGGAGGGGTAGAATGGATGTAGGGAGGCACCTACAGTGTCCTCTACATTCTCTCAGGATCTCAGTACCTACTCTCCCTGCCACTCAAGGGCATTCTCATCTCTGCTTTAGGCAGAAAGCTAACAGCTAAGTTATTCCTTGAGCAAAACCCTAACTCCCTGACTTGCAGCAGCCCTCCTTGGAGCTCATGTCCCTACTCAAAGTCTTAAAGAAGAGAGTACTCACGAGGCATATAGTCCTTTGCCTCAGCAGCATGAAAGGTCATCATTTTTTTTTAAGTCCTCTTCATATATATATATATTTATTTATTTAATTTTTTTATACAGCAGGTTCTTATTAGTTATCCATTTTATACATATTAGTGTATATATGTCAGTCCCAATCTCCCAGTTCATCACACTGAAAGGTCATCATTTGGAAATTGCAGAATTGATCTGTTTCTTAGGAGGATTTGGATGGGAGTTACAAAGAGACCAGTCTTAGCTAAGTCTGAAGAATTTATTAGAGTGGACCTTTGTAAATAGGGGTGTTTATTGTTAGAGTAAGAAGTGACTTCTGGGAATGGCTGAATGAGGCTATGAGGCCATTTCTTATGGATGCCATAGAGAGACCCATTGTTGATCCTTTGTGAAGAGAGAAGGCAGTAGATAAATAGATAGGAAGGAAGGAAAGTAAGAGGTGGTGCTTTCCCAACATAGCCTCAGGAACAGCTCCTTGCAGTTCTTTCCTATCCTGATACTTTGCTATGTGAATTGGCTTTCAGCTCCTAGGGGCAGGTGCAGAAGAGACCTTAGTCTTTCCTGTTTCTTCTTGACATTTTAAAATGAGTGATAAGTTTTTGTATATTGGTGAACTGATAGAATCACAACTTCCCTGAACCTCTATTTCCTGTCCTTTATATTCTTATTACTCTCAAGTTTCAGGTCATCTGTTTTACCAGTCTTTCCGCCAACCTTCATTCTCCCCTACCACTTCTGTCTCAGCTCCTTTCCTAATGGGCCCCACTCCTCCAGCTGAGTCAGCCTTATTTATATCTTGATCCTGGCAGGATATCCATTTCTAAAGCCTGCTGGGATCTCCCATCTTGAGCAGGTAGAAGAGCCATTGAAACCGAAACTGCAAGGAGAGGGTCCAAGCCTAATTTGTACCGGTAAGTGAGAGGGAAATGAGCACTTTTCTACCAGTCACACATTTTTCTCCTGTCTTTCCTTTGTAAAATGTTAAAATTCCATTCCACTTATGTTCTAAATAAAAGACCCTCTCAAAATCCCCAAATCAACTAATTAATCAGAGGAAATGTAAACTCTAGACTTCCAGCTTTTATTTGGACAAGTGCAGATAATTAAATTTGGATGGATCTTTCATCTTAGGCTCAAACTGAACAGAGGGCTTACCTATCTGGCTGCAGTGGTCAATCAATATGTTAAAGGTAAATGCTGTATTTTTCTCATTGTGTTCATTGCTGGGGATCAGAAATCAAGTAATATATGGCTCCTGTCCCGGAAAGGCTCACAGTCTGATGAGACATTATACAAAAATGTATAATTATAACAAAATGTGATGCTGTAACAGAGATTTGAATAAGACACTATGGAACAAAGAGACACTTTGGCCAACACTGCCTAAAGTAATTCAGGGAAGCACTTTTCATGGTGGACCTGGTGTTTGGATTGAATGAGAAGACTTTATTTCCATTCAGTGTTGAAAAGTATGAGAGAGTCTTCTTTGTGCTCCCTACCGTGTGTGATAAGCTCAGGGTCCCCAGGTATACCACAGATATTCTTTATTTCTGAACAGGTCCTCTGCTCTGAATCCTGGCTAGTTCTTCTCATGTTATAAACTGAACTACCTAGAAGGAATTTTGACTTATCTCCCTTAGAATTCAATTCAACTATTTCCCAAGAGCATCCCCCGCCCCCAACTCCCCACCTGCCGGCCCCATGCTTGCTCTGGTGCTGGAAATCAGAGCCCTCAGCCCTTAGGGACTGTCTGCCTAATTTCTGCCTTTTGATTTTGGTTGCTTTCTGTGTGTTAGCTCTGTTTCGCCGTTTTCAGCTAGGTCAGGGCCACTTAGACACAGGGGTGGCACTTGGAGAAAAATGGACATATTAATACCACTTGGTGACCTCAGTCACTCTGTCATGGGTATTGATGACATTTGCAGCTCTGGTTTCTTCTTTCAGAGTCTGTGTCCAAGAGTGAGAAAGAAGGTTTTATTCTGAAGGAGGATACTTTTGAGGAGGCACAGGACCACATGGTGCTATCAGGTGGACCCCAGTGCTGTGGTTCCCAGGAATTCTGGTTTGGAAAAACCTGTGAAGAGGAGAAAAGCAGGTTAATGAGATGGCCTGCCTACCCCAATAGGGAAAGTGTGGAGAACACTACATGTGACATTATAGAAGTGATTGTCAAGGATGAGATGACCTCAGTAGAAGAGCATTTGAAAGATGCTGATGTTTATACCCACCTTGTACCTCAGAAAAGTCTACATGAGCAGGTATTCTATATATGTGAAGAATGTGGCAAGTGTTTTGTTCAAAATGAAGACTTTGATCAACATCAGAGAATTCATATTGGGAAGAAAGTCTGTGGATGTAAGGAATGCGGGAAGACTTTCAGTTTCAGATAACACTGCATTGTACATCAGAGGACTCACACTGGGGTGAAACCCTACGTATGTCAAGAATGTGCTAAAGCCTTCATTTGGAAGTCAAACCTGATTGGGCACCAGAGGATTCACACTGGAGAGAAACCCTTTGAATGTAAGGAATGTGGGAAGGGCTTTAGTCAGAACACAAGCCGTGCACACAACATCAGCGAATCCACACCGGGGAGAAACCATATACATGTAAGGAATGTGGGAAAAGTTTTACTCAGAACCCAGTCCTTCTTCGACATCAGAGAATCCACACCGGGGAGAAAGCTTATGAATGTAAGGACTGTGGGAAAGGCTTCATGTGGAAGTTGGATCTTGCTCAGCACCAATGGGTCCACACTGGAGAGAAGCCTCATGAATGTATTGACTGTGGGAAAAGCTTCATTTGCAAGGCACACCTTACTCGTCATCAGAGAATCCATACTGGGGAAAGACCCTATAAATGTAATGACTGTGGGAAGGCCTTCAGTCAGAATTCTGTTTTGATTATGCACCAGAGGCACCATGCTAGAGAGAAACCCTATAACTGTCAGACTTCTCACTTTCTTGAACATTAGAGAATGCATAATGGTGATACTTTTTTATAATTCTTATGCTTCAGGAACCCCAGCCACAAGATGACTGCCCACAGTTTGCTGTAACTGTAATAGCCAGTATTGTCTTGTCCCTTCTCCTGAGTGGATACCCTGTCCTTCAGCAAGACTGGTCTCTCTGTTCAGCCATACTCATACTAGGCAACATTTAGTTGAGCACCTACTCTATTTCAGGTACTGTGCTAACCATTTTACATACATTCCTTAACTTTTCTTAATCCTATAAGGTAGGTACTCTTATCCTCATTTTACAAATGAGAAATCTGAGGCTGAAAGAGGTTATAAACTCATTCAAGTTCACTCAGGTAGTAAAGTTTAGAGTTAAGATTGGAACCAGGCCTATCTGACTCCCGAATCTATTGTTCTTTATCTGTGCACATTTCTGCTTCTGCCTGTTTTTATTTGCTCAAATTTCCCTGGGCTAAAAGTCTCCTTTCCTCATCTAAGACTCAGCTCCTTCAGGTGAACAGACCTCTCTTCCTTTTCTAATTGTAGTCAGTACCACCCAAGTTGGTATTTAATTATGTGCTATCTTATATTTTTTCTAATAGCCTCATGCCTGTTAGTCCGGCTAAATGACTCTTTGAGGACCAACACTGCATTTCTTTATGTTTTTCAAATTTTGAAACGTATTTATTTTTGACTAGCTATAACATACTCATGATAAAAAAAATTGAAATAGTTCAAAAAGGTGTTCAGTGAAAAGTAAATTTCCTTGTCACTCCTGTCTCCCAGTCCTTCTCAGAGACAATGTGTTGTTTCTGTGTCTTTCTGGGTACATGCCCGCACAAGTATTTATTAATACTACTTTCCATAAGTCTACCCCACTTAAAACCATATTTGATATAGTGATATTGCTATTACTTTGCCAACTCCAGGACCTTCTCTTCCTCAGAAGTTGTTGGCCTCCTTTAGGTCACTAAGGTAACTTAAGGAAAGCAATGGAGACAGTCTGGGTTGTGCAGCCTTGGGAGACCTGATTGCCCTTGTGTTATAAGAGAGTACTCTGGGACTGGGAAAATGTAAACCAACGGAATTTTTTTTCATAAAAATTTGTAGAGCTACAACCCCTCTCATAGCACCACTATCCTAAATTCTCTCCTAGTCTGTCCCCTTCTCATCACCATAATACCTACGTCCCAAAGTAAGCTGTGGGGCTATCACCAAAGGAGGGAGAAGTGGTCACTTCATGCTCTTCTGGGTATCCTCAATCAGCAGTGGCAATATAATCCAGTATCTTGGTGTCAGGATCACAAATGCCCTGCATAGGTCCATGATCAAACATAAATGCTAGGCACGCATAGATTCTACGCAGCAAGTAAGGGGAAGGTGAAGAATTCCAAAATTAACTTGATTACAGACTTGAAATCAAGTCTGTAAAATAAAATATTTTTTAAAAGGGGATACAGGCTGTTAAAATATTAATTATGAAGAAATGCAGGATATTAATGAATGGTATGAACCATCTTAAAGAGTCAGAGAACCAAAGGCCCTATTCAGAGAAGAAGAACGCTGGCCAAAACAGAGGAAACATCCATTCCAGACCCTCCACCTTTAGAGCCATTTTCCGGACTGCAGTTTGCCCCATTGCTGTTTAGGCATTCCACTTTATAAGCTCCCAGCCAGTGAGTATAATGGTTGATAAAGGAGCAAGGAGAAGCCAGAGGCCTGCTTGGCCCAAACTTCTGCTTCCTGAAAAGTACAAACATACTGATAACTCTGGAGTTTCTGACTGCTGAAGGCAAAGGCCATGTAGTAAGGAGAACTTGGTCTGGTGTAGTCCAGCTAGAGTACCTCTAATAAGCAGGAAAAATTTTATTTTGTTACTACACAGACCCAGGAAATGGGAATGAGTGATGTGAACAACGTGTTTTGAGGCAGTTGTTTATTACGCAAGTATTACCGAGCACCTGCTTGTATGCAAAGCACTGTGCCAGGTGCTGTAAAGGAATGATAAGTCAGACCCGCTCCCTGCCTTCCTGGAACATTAATCTAGTGAAGATTAAAGGGACCAACCAAAACAAATCAAGTGAACAAGATTATTAAAGCTTGCCAAGTGCTCTGAAGGGAATGAACGAGGTACAGAAAGTGGGGCCCTCTTTCTGTAGATGCTCACAGGAGGCCTATCCTAAGAGGTAACATTAAAGGTATGACTCAGAGGACGAGAAAGAGCCTCTTGTACCAAGAACAGGAAGAACCGCAGGCAGAGGGAACAGCTGTGCAGACTCCCTGATGTGTGAAGAGTTCGGCACATTCAAGAAAACAGGTTTTAGCAAAACGAACAGCATGTGTGGCACCAGTTGGGATTATACAGATCGATGGGCCAGATCATTCACTTCCACCCTAAGTGAAAAGAAGTCATTGAAGAGTATTCAGTGGAGGGATGACGTGTTTGATTCTGATTATAAGATGATGATGAGCACTCTGGCTGCCAATAGAAAATGGGTTGTAAGGGGACAAAAGTGAAAGTAGAGATCATGTTGGAGACTGCTAGCCGTCCAAGTTGGAGATGACGGTGGCCTGGAGAGGGTGGTGGTAATGGAAATGAAGAGAAGGTGGATTTAAGATATATTTTGGAAATAAAATCAGTGAGCTGCTGCCAGTGGATTAGATGCAAGGATAATGGACAGGGAGGAATCAGGAATAGCTTTCTGGCTTCTGACCTGAGCAGCTGAGTTAGACAGTGGTGCCATTTACTGGAATGAATAAGACTGGAATGGGAATAGGTTTGGAGATGGAAAAGTCTAGAACTCTACGTTGGATTAACATTTGCGATAAGTGTGAGATGTACAATTAGAAATTTCAAGTAGGTGGTTTTATATATGGGCTGGACCTCTGGGTTAGTGATACCTGGAGCTGTACATTTGAGAGCGGTCAAACGAACAGAAGGTATTTAAAGCCATGGGAAGAAATGAATGTAATCCCCTAGAGCTGCACTATTCAATACAGTAGCCACTAGCCACGTGTGGGTATTAAAATTAAATTTAAAATGTATGTCCTTAGCCATACTGGCCAGATTCCAAGCACACAGTAACTATATGTGGTAGTTGGCTACCTTATTGGATGGTGCAGGCATAGAACATTTTCATTGATGCAGAAGGGTCTATTGGACAGTACTGCCCCCAGAGACAGTACAGCAAAATACGAGGGCCCAGGATGAAGTCTTCTGGAATACCAACTCTACTTAGGGAGTTGGACAGGGGGAAACACCAAGAAGAAATGCTACTAGGAATTCTCTTTCAAAGATGGAAATGTTTGTAGGCAGAGTGGTGGAATGGCAAGACAAATTTTAGAAGTATCACAATGAGAGAATTAGCAAAACATGGCAAAAGATAGGTGTTCTAGGAGGATTAAGAAATAGCATGTGGAAATGGATGTCCAGTAAGGGTCTCTAGCAGATATGACAAAATCCTGGGCATTCCACATGATCTGACTTAAAACATTGGTGACGTGGCAAACCCAAAATTCACATAGGTAGGGTAGGGGAGCCTGGAAGATACCTCAAAGAGATTGGAAATTATCCACTGGAGAATCTGGAACTGAGAGTATATTTTCACCAGATTTGGAAGGTATGTTACGGTATGACAGACATTAGTCCGGTGGGATTCACGAAGTTAAGGTTAGGGCATGAAAGGTACCTATTGAGACACTTAACCTCCAAGCACCTGAGATGAAATACAAATGAGGAGCTTGTGTGACCACTAAGAGAAAATGTGATATTAAGGTGCTATACAAGAAAACAGTGCTTTCAAATATAAGCCAGGATCAGTATAATTAATTTGCAAATGACAGAAAACCCAAATCTAACTAGTTTAATAAAAGTTGTTTATAGGCTCACATAACTGAAAAGTTCAGAGGTAGGACAATGTTCCAATACCTATTGAGAGGGATAGAGTTCAGACCTAGAGAAGATTCTCTGATGTTGAAAGACAATTCCTCTGCCCAGTGATTGAGATGTAAATTACTTTATAGAGTGGAAAATTGCTTCCTTACTTTAGCAGAAAGAGAAAACAAAAAGAACTGGCTTTAACCATTTTTTTTCTCCGAAAGAAGGACTATATTTGTCTGGTGGAAGTGATATAGGTATTGGAGTTAAGCAACTGAATTGTTCAGCCTCTACCCCCATTTCCAGCATACGTAGTCCAGGCTAAAGTGTGCTTAGCTTGAATGCAGCTGGAAACCCGATGTCTTCTGATTTCCACTGTATTGTACCCCCTAAAGCCGATAAAAACTTATTCATTGTCAAGTATATAACAGAAACTTTATTCTGTTGATAATATCAAAAGAAGTGAGAAAGAACTGGTGTGAAAGAAGAAGCCAAACAGTACATTTGTCTGGCAGACAATCAGCTGGTGTCTTGGGTTGTGTCTTATACTACAGATTTCTCTTCCCACAAGAGCACCCGGTAGAAAACTCGACGTAGGCTTTTCACTCTGACCCCTTCTCTTTGAGAAAATATTAACTCTGAGTGCAAGGGATCTAACTACCAGGCCCCAAATTTATTTTATTATTCTCCTGGGGGGCTCAAAGGGTATTCAGGCAAATGGGGCTAAGCTCCCTTACTATTTCTGCCTTGCGGGTGGCAGATCAGATTCCCTGATGTTCCTTTGAAAAATACAAGCCTGGGTGAAGAGGAAACAAGAAAAAGAAGGGAGTGATATATGCTGGAAACTGGTGGCAAATAAGATTCAAAACAAAGAGAACCCCCAGGATATATAAAGCGAAAGTATTCTGAAAAGGTGACAGATATACCTGAGGGAAGCCGCACATGGTGATGTTAATATGGAAACTGAAAATCAACTCAGCGCAAACATAAGAGGTGGGCATGGTCCATCCCGAGAGCCCTGATGCCGGCTCCACCTGCAGGTGGGGCTGGAGGCTGTTGCCCTGCAGAGTGGGAGTTGTCCTGAAAGACTAGTTCTGGTTCATGACAGCTACTCTCTATTTCTCTTCTGTCTGTACACTAGCTCCTCAGCCCGTAGCAACTGACCTCTGCTCCCACCAAACTCCTTGAACTGAGGTTACTACCAGCGCCTGGCTTCTCAGGCTTCATCGTCTACGGTATGTATCCCTGTTGATAATTTACACCCCTTGCAAATGTCCTCTTGGCTCTCTGGTCACCACTTTCTCCTGACATTCCTGACCTGTTAGTTCCTGCCTCCTTTGAGTTTCCTCCATTTCTGTCCACCCTCTAAAGATAAGTAGTCACGTAGGGATCCAGTCTTGTCCCTCTTCTAATTCTATACAGTGTCACCAGGTGACAGGATTATTTACCCATTTGGATTAAACTATATCTGGGGGACTTCCCTGGTGGTCCAGTGGTTAGGACTCCTTGCTGTCACTGCCGAGGGCCTGGGTTCAATCCCTGGTCAGGGAACTAAGATCCCACAAGCTGCGTGGTATGGCCAAAAAAAAATAAATAAAAATAAATTACATCTGGGAGCCACATGTACAAAAATGAACTTATTATCCTTACCCACAGGTACACACTAACCCCTGTTTTCTCCACCACCTGCCCACTTGTTCAGCCCAGGAACCTCATGGAAATCTTCAGTTCCTCTCTATCCTGCACCCTTATAAATAGACTACGTTTTAATGATTCCATTTCACAGATGCAGCAGGTTGGCCATTTCCTTTCCACATCCTCTGCTCTATTTTCCAGTTACCACGTCAGAGTTTTGTGATAGCTGTTGTCTTTTCAGTCCTCTCTCATTCTTAGATCAAGAAAATTTCCTTAAAATGAAAATCAAATCGTATCACTCTCTTTCTGAAATTCCTTTAATGATTCTTGTCTATAAAACAAAACCCAAGTTCCTTAGGTGAGTATTCAAAACTCTGTCAGTGACTGGTTACAATCAATGATTTTATGCTCTCTCTCCTCAATCTCCCACTTAAGTCTCAACGGCACCCATACTTCTCTGCTTCTCATTCTCAACCACATCTTGCTCTTTCAGGGAATGTGTGAATATATCAGTATAGGTCAGTGGTTCTCAACTGGCAGTGATTTTGCGCCTTTCTCCTAGAAGACGTTTGGCAATGTTTAGACACATTTTTTGTTGTCACAGTTGGGGATAGGGCTGCTACTGACATCTAGTGGGCATCTAGAGGCCAGGGATGCAACTAAATATACTACGATGCACAGGGAAGTCTCCCACGACAAAGAATTATCTGGCCCCAAATGCCATTAGTGCTGCTGTTAAGAAAATCTCGTATAGGGCAACCACACGTGGAAGTCTGTTGATCATATCTACTGTATCAGACAAATAGGTACAAAGACAAATAGAACATCCATGTCCAAGGAGTACCTATTTACTCTATTTGCGAGAAATCACTACTTGTGTTAATATTGGATAGAAGCTCTGTGAAATGAGCTTTACGTGTGAAAATGTGTGTTGTGTTTTCTTTTGTGTCCTTCAGTTCATGCTTTTAACTACTCTTTGTCCTTACTAGTCTTTCTGCCCACAAAGATGTGGTGTGTAGCATCATCTGACAACTTTTCCCGTGACCCACGTGCCTTGCTTCCCTCACCTTCCTGGAAGTCTTTTTTTTTTTTTAATTTTTATTTCAATCTTTTTATTTATTTATTTATTTATTTGGCTGTGCCAGGTCTTAGTTGCGGCACGGGGGATCTTTAGTTGCGGCATGTGAGATCTTTTACTTGCAGCATGTGGGATCTAGTTCCCTGACCAGGGATCGAACCCGGGCCCCCTGCCGTGAGAGTGCGGAGTCTTAGCCACTGGACCACCAGGGAAGTCCCCCTGGAAGTCTTTAGAGTCAGAATACCATGAACTTGGCGAAACTGCAGACCTGAAATTGGGTTGTGAGATTTTTGTCTTGCTGTTCATGCATGATGTATGAGCAGAGGGAGGAGAACTAGGTGTGACAATAGCAATCATTTTGTCTCAAAACAAACCAGTTAAAGTGTAAAGATCCACCAGCACATACAGTTTTATGCAGTTGGGAATCTGTGGTCTAACCAGTGGCAGCTGTTGTGTTGCAGGCATTGTCTTTAATGAGTGTACCTCGCAGAATCAATCCACAGCAGGATCCCTGTTTTCCAGTGATGAACTAAGTAGCTGACACAGAGTGGGATTTGGAAGTAGGTTACTATTATAATACTGTAATATTTGGGACATGCCTTATAACTTGGGATGTAATTTTAACATGACTACCATTCTTTTTTTTTCCAACTTACCTTCTCCCCACCCTTGCCAGAGCGATAAAATTAATGAAGAATCTTAAAATCCGTTGATATGTCTTAGGAAAAAAATAGTAGTAGGGAGTCATCAAAATTTATTGTTAAACCATCTGTAAGTCTTGTTTCAGTTTTGTTCCTTTGACTCATTGACTTTATTGCTGAAAAGGACATTTGAAGTTGTCTAGTCCAACTATCTTATTTCTATACAGGAAAAAAATAGAGGTTGAGAGTTAAGGACTTTTTCAAGGTCTTCCAGTGTTTGCCTGCATTTTTTTTTTTTTTGAGGAGTGATAGCATCTTTATTATTGCTGTTAATGGAACAAAAGGTACCTAATCACACCAGCTTCTCTTTTCAAAGAAAACTACAAATATCTTAATAACATCACATATCAAAGAGTAGTTACTTTTGCTGCCTTCTATTAAAAGCAGTTACATGCTAGGAAACAACACATTGCTCACACATTGCCAGAAGCATGGAGGGAACTGAATAGACCAAATAGCATCAGTCTATTCTTATCACATGAAGCCAGACACAGTCAACTCTCAGTAAGCCATTCGCACGGAGGGAACGCTGATAATTCACAATAGTTATATCTGCCATTTGAATGCATCACATAGTTTGTTTAGGCTCCTATAAAATTAATTTAAATTAAAAATATGATCCTTAAGCCAGTGTCAACACATGACAAGGAGTGTGAGGTAATGGTGCCGGGGAGGCAGGGAAACATCAGACTAGTATTAGTACTGGGCCACGGGATAAACTAAAGGCACACCACACATACGTGGAGAGCTTAGCCAAGAGTGGCTAGGAACTTCAATATATTGTCACTCTTTCTAGATTGGTTTTATATTGGGAGCTATATTTTTCAACACACCGTATGTACATTTTGTTTGTTTAGTGGGCAAATTGATTCATTCAGTTCTGTCACTTTATGAGTATAATTTTACTGGGTCGTATTAATAGAAATACATTAATACTCTACATAAGCTAGGTAGCATTGAGTACACAAGAATAAAGTACTTAAAAGGGCAAGATCACATCAATAGCCTTTCCTTGTCCTGTGGGACAGATAAGGGGATCTTGAATTGAGGTTTTTGATAATAGAGCTTTAATCGGCACAGTCATACTACAGAGAGATGCAGTGGTGTTGAAAAGCACAGGCTATGGATTCAGTCTCGCTCTAATGATGACTGCATATTTAATAAACATTTTCCTATCTCTGGTGTGTAGTCTCTAGGGAACTCTATTTACAGTTTGGGGGCTCCACATTTCTCCTTGGCTTATAAATCCTGTATCCATTATCTCCCCCAACTTCCTCTCCTGGATGCTTTCCTGTGATCCTGTGATTATGAATCTGGATTCATGGAACCTACAGTTTTCTCAGGCTCCTTACTGGAATGATCTCTGCGTTGTCTCAGCATTCTGAGATGTGCCTGTTATCTTCCTCTTGTGAGCAGAGAATCACGCTGCCAGTACAAACAATGTTAAATGTTAAAACAGAACCTGGGGGAGGGGTTCTTTATGGGAGTTGCGATCAGTCCATCTGGCTGATATATAATTCTCTGCCTTAAGCTACTGAGAATCGTACTTCTCTCCATAAGAAGAATTGAAGAAGCTAGATGGTGACAGGTTGTGTCCCTTAAAACCAAGCCTCAGGTGAGCTTTGTTCCCTTTGACCTCTGTCCACTTGAGTTTTGAGGTAAGCCAGTGCAGGTACTTCATGGAAACTGTGTCTGAGGTAAAGATGCATCCATCTATATTCACCAAAAGGAGCCTCTGATAGGTTTCAGGTAAGACAAGGTAGGTACAGAGAAGAGGTACACCTGGCCTGAGAGGACAGGATGAACCCTGGAACCCGAGTGGTGGCAGCAAGAATTACCCTTAGGACATGGGTGTACATGAGGACAGGCATAAACTAGTCATATGGAAACTCATTCGCTTATTCTCTTATTAACCAACATTTGAATATATTGGCGTAATGCCAAAAATGTGGGATAATCTAACCAACATTTAAAAATGTTGTAATTGATGATTTGGCATCCATTGATCATAGGGTCAAACTAACAGCCGAAGTTGATTATATTTCCCCTTTGGGTGTGCAAAAATCCTATTACAAACCTTCCAACCACAGACCCCAACATCTGTGTTTTGCTTCCTGCCCAGCAGGAGGACATCCCCACCTAACAACTTCCCACCGCTCTAGTAATAGAGGCCTTTGCCTATGCTTTCTGCCCGCTCCTCTGCCTCCTGACTGACCCCATGGTGCTTCCCCATGGGCCCCCTGCATGGTGTGGCATGCCCCCTCTTTTCAGGAACTGTAAGTACTTCTTCTTTCCAAGGCAGTTGTCTCCTTGTCTGTGACCTTACCATACATGATTTCTAAAAATCCTGGGTGTATGTTAAACACGGATGAACCCCACAACGTATAAATTTTTATGGCAAGTAATGGTAAATGCTATGAAGGATAATAAAGCAGGGAAGGGGTATAGAAAGGGATAGACAGAGTGATCAGGGACAGACTCTGATGAGGGGACATGTGAACAAGAGACCAAAGTAGGGAGCGAGATGTGCTGACATTTAGGGGCAGCATTTCAGGCAGAGGGAATAGCAACTGCTGGGGCTGAGGAGGAGGGAACATGCTTGGACCATGTCCGTAGGGAGGTGGTGAGGCTTCGGTGCTTAGGCGCGGGATGGGTTCAGCATATGGCAGGTGGACTGAATTGTGTCCCCCCGCAACTTTATATGTTAAAGCCCTAACCTCCAGTACATCAGCATGTGACTGTATTTGGAGACAGGATCTTCAAAGACATAATTAAGTTAAAATGAGGCTGTTAGGGTGGTCGCTAATCCAGTCAGACTGGTGTCCATATGAGAAGAGGAGATTAGGACACAGACACCAGGGGTGCACATGCATGGGGGGTGACCGTGTGAAATGGCAACAAGAGGTTGGCCATCTGCAAGCCAAGGACAGAGGCCTCAGAGGATACCAACCAGCTGGCACCTTGATCTTGGACTTCCAGCCTCCTATACCATAAGAAAATTAATTTCTGTTAAGCCATCCAGTCTGTGAAATTTTGTCATGGCCTAGGGCTAAATCATGATGGCCAAATGTTACCTTGCAGTTATGGTTAGTTAGTCAGTGTGGGTGGAGGTTTGATCTGTGTTCTCCTGGCCCAGTGTGGTTTTCTCTAATCTTTTATATTGCTTATGTTTTCAGGTAGTTTGCAAGCTTCGTGATAGCATTCCTCACATACCCCTAAGTTGGAATGTCTAAGTTATTTGATTTAATTTTTTGTTTGACATTTAATTGATGATGCCGCAAAAAAAAAAAAAAAAGAAAAAGAAAAATAGATGTCATGCACATAAGAGATCAGAAAAAAATGTTGGGGTCAGCTCACACATCTGCAATTTCCAGGTGTGTAAAGAGTGTGGCAAAGCCTTTAACTTCAACTCAGCACCAGCAAGTCAGCACTGGAGAGAAACCTTTTATTTTTTTACGTGTACACGGGCCTCTCACTGTTGTGGCCTCTCCCGTTGCGGAGCACAGGCTCTGGACGTGCAGGCTCAGCAGCCATGGCTCACGGGCCCAGCCGCTCCACGGCATGTGGGATCTTACCGGACCGGGGCACGAACCCGTGTCCCCTGCATCGGCAGGCGGACTCTCAACCACTGCGCCGCCAGGGAAGCCCGAAAGAAACTTTTTAGATGCAAGGACTACAGTAAGGCCTTCAAGCAAAAAGTCAGCTTAAATCAATATCAATGGATCCAAAGGAAAAAAAGAAAAGGAAAGAAAAAAGAAAACCCCAAGATCAATGGATCCACCCTTGGGTGAAGCCCTACAAATGCAGAGTGTGGGAAAGGCTTCAACAAGAGTTCAGGATTGAAGCAGCACTGAAGGCTTCATGTTAGAGGAAAACCCTGTGAATGTGAGAAATGTGGGAAAGTCTTCATTCAGAACTCAAATTTTATTCGTCATTGGAGAATTCATCCTGGAGAGAAACTTTTAAATGTAATCTTGTTCTGTGTGTCCCCCTAGTGCAGGTTAGCAGGCCCTCCCCTTCTTGGCCTGATTATCCCAATCCAGCTGTACCTCCTGCCCTCCCCAGACTCTGCTCCAGCCAGTCCTCTCCACTCACTGCAACACACACTGTTTCAGTTTCTTCCTCTGAGCTTGTGCTTTTTCTGCTCCCCCAGATGCCCTCTCCCCATCTCTTCCCCTTTCTTTGATCCTATCTAGCCTTAAGACTTTTTGAAGCTTAGCACTTTGACTCTGCCTTTCTTACTACAGCCTCTTTTGTCTGTTTTCTTAAAGACAGCCTTATTATTTTTTTAAATTTTTTGGCCGTGCCATGTG